TTATTTGCTAGATTTCGATTTAATCAATGACGCGAATGGCAGCGCATCACCTACGAGATAAGAGCGAGATAAAAGGCTTGCGCGAAATGAAAATTGCCGATGTATCGCCAGCGGCGGCTGATTTTATATTTATGGCAAAACTAATGTTTCAATGCGCGCGTTACCTCACGCAACTTTCTCAAACGAGATGATTGATAGATATAAGCGCTTTGGCATATAACGCGTGTACGCGAAACGAGTGAGTCACGCCGAGAGACGTAACCGGCATTCGCATATAGCACAGCCTGTAATCAAACAGGATCTCCGTGCGATCCAGTGAACAGGAGCTGTGAAAATGCAGTTCCGTGTCCTATGAGGACCTCGTTGCGGTTTCGAATCCGCGAAGACGATACAGATTGCATTTTAAAAAGAAAATAAAAAATGTCTATAAGAGATATCTCAATATAAAAGAATTATGATTAAATGATATTTTCTGAAGAATTTTTTTTATTTTAGTGACATGCATTTTTTCAAAATATTTTAGATATGTGAAATATGCAATAGATATGTAAAAAATATTTTTCGAAAAAAAATCATATGAATATATCGCAACGAATTCGAAAGTTTAGATGAAACGTGGATGAAATCAATCATCCGTAAATATTAACTTTAGAGAGAGATACAATTTCTCATTCTAGGGTAGAATTTATAAGTTAGACCTCTAATCTCTTGCATCGAATGCTTGTTTTAATAAGCATAAAATGATAGCGCAAAATACGATCGCGTGCAATTCTTAAGCGGCAAGGCATCTCATTTCGAAAGTTCATTCGTCTATATCGTTTACGCGGGCCAATAAGGGTCAAGCTGATCAACCAGTCGAGACCGTTTCCGGCGGGTATCGTACCGAGTGTCGCCGACACTGTTGATCGAATGTAAACCGACCGCAATGGCGATACCGTTACCGATTTTTAGCGCGGTTAGCACGCGAGCGGATTCGCGAGCCGCAACATCGTCTCTATACGCACTTGCAAATTCGATATCATATCGATCATGTGATATCAAAGATATCATTGATATTAAAAAGGAAAAACAAAGCACATAAAAATTAGAATTGATAAGAATCTAGAGAGAAAGAGAGATGTATATCTCGTAGAATATTTAAATGCTCTGTACTATAATATCAATACTTAAAAAAAACGATTTCTTTCTTTACTTTCACGACAATTAGAAGCTAATTTTGCTTAAGAAATGTTATTTTCCTGGAATGAGAAAAGTGAAAAGTGGAATCAGCGGTACCCTAATTGAGCGGTGAGTGCCAGTTCCACAGGAAGTTCCATAGGAGTCGTGACAATGATACCGTGTTGCAACGCATCCATGAAATCCGGTTCAGACACTTCCTCGGTGTTCATGGAATTCGAGACGGTTTCGGTAATTTCCGAGCTTCCGAACGAAGTGGAAGTCGTCGATGTCATTGTCGTACTTTGCAGATTCTCGCCTGCAACGTCGTGCGCGTTGTACGAGACGGAAATGAGATATTAAATTGATGCTGCGATTAACGTTTTCTCGCGTATTTAAAAGTTACTTGGTTCTAATAATAAGTTGTACGCTGATTGTAAATTTTATCGATTTAAAGCAGCCAAAGATAAAGTAATCACTAAACTAGCCAATCAAAATATCTTTTGTAAATAAAAAAAATTCTATTTCCTATAGATATTTTAAGAATTTATCATGACGTAATTTCTGAATGCCGATTATAATTTATAATCTATTACCAAATCAAATTGAATACTTAAAACGTCGCTATAGTGATATATATATTTAAAATTGAAATGATATATTAAATTTGACCCAAACTAGCCAAAGAAAATTTTTATTTTATTTCCACAACGTTTCGATCATCTGTTTTTGGTCCTTTTTAATGAAAAATTTCTTAATAAAAGTGCAGTTAGTTAACACTGTTATCATTATTAAACAGTGTGATTATATCGAAATTTTTGAAACATTTAAAAAAACTTTTGAAAGAAAGAAATCGCATCTTATCGTTATGATAAATCGTCAAAAATAGTTTTTTTAAATGTTTCAAAAATTTCGATATAATCACATTGTTTAATAATGACAACAGTGTTAACTAACTGCACTTTTATTAAGAAATTTCTTACTTGAAAAGGACCAAAAACAGATGGTCGAAACGTTGTGGAAATAAAATAAAAATTTTCTTTGGCTAGTTTGGGTCAAATTTAATATATCGTTCCTATTACCAAATATATATATGTCTTTTATTATTATCGGTTTACTATTGCGATAAAAACGAATGATTGGAATAATAGATAAAATTCGAGATAAATTTTATATATTGTAGATAAATTTTCTACCAACTTTGCGTTTCCGTTTCCGAACACATAAATGTTACGTCCGCGAGTCTATATCTATCTCGTGAATAAACCGGTAACGTGGGGCTGAATTTCCATTTCTTACTCGGTTCGACATCGCGATCGAAGGTACTTGAGGAGAGCACGATGGTGTTCGTAGCGGAGGTCGAGGGTTCATCGGGGTCGACTTCGGAGAAATAACTGCCGAGGTCCTGGCAAGATTCACGCGTCCTTGCAGCATCCGCGACGGAATGATGCTCGGATCGATAAATCGAGGAATTGCTCTTCGCAGTACTTTGTTCGTTCAGCGTAGAAGCTGACAAAGAGAGAGATAGGAAAAAGAAGAGAGAGAGAGAAGCAAGATATATCTCTTTCCTCTCTCTCTCTCTCTTTCGTTTTTTCATATTTTAATTTGTCAGGAATGTAAATATTTACCACTGTCGAGATTCGCGAGTTCGTCGGGTTTTTGACAAACACGAGGCTGAATTTCGCACTGACTACTTATGTTATTCTTTACTTCGGAATCAACTTCCCCTTGATTCGTCGATTTTATAAAACGCTTCAAAGGATTACGAAAAGTGGGCAGCTTCGATCTAATCTGTGCATCACATTCGTTAGACAACGTTCATTTTTTATTGCACGTAAAGTACGCATTTCATCTTATATATTAAGTTCCTTAATTAAAGTTTTATTAATCGGTTTGTATAATAAATTAATTGCCTAACTCTAGATATAATTTCACTCTGCCATCGTTTGTAAAAAATCGAAATTTCCGCAATTAATGCGACCGTAAGATTGATAATTACGCGCTGTGTAATAAGCAATTGAATGACTAATGCAAGTGTTTACATCTCATTACTAATTCTGATCGATATCATTCCTCTTTCATATATAATTTACTAAACGTGCAAAAATATTCGTATTAATTATGTAATGTTGCAATGCCATAAAAGTTTATACACCATGGCGCAATGCTGCCATGGAAGAAAAATGGCGCAATGCTGCCACAAAAAAAATTAGCTACTATATAGCTAAATTTTAGCTGTAGTATATTACACATAAAATTTAATAATCATGCCTAAATTTTAGCTATATGATAGCTAATATTATTTAGCTATAAAGAATTCTTCGTTTAACTATAGCTAAAAAATATTAGTTACCGTAGCTAAAATTTAGGCAATAATTAAATTTTAGGTTGTAATATAAGAACGGCTAAAATTTAACTATAGTGACTAATTTTTTTCCATGTGTAAATTAAGCCAACTAAAAAGCATCTTTAAACTATTTTAAAATTCAGTATTTTTCAATGTGCTATTATCGAGAAATTCTAAATATTTTATTCTCACCTTCTGATTTATCACGGAAAATACAGATTGCTTATCGGGCTTTCTATGACCGAATTCAGTAAGATTTATATTATTATCCCTGAGAGCTCGTTGTCTCGAGGTATCTGAACTCTCTGATTTCGAAGCTTCTCTATTAGTAGCCGTATTACTCATATCTGCATCATATTGCCGATAAAGGCAGAGCAAATTAACGATACATATAATTCTACTTATCAATTTGAACGTCGTGCATTTCGGTATCGACTATTCTATTTGGTCGAGTGGCTTTTGTCAATTATACCGTGATATAAAAATCTTGTATGGATATATTGTGTTGAAAAAAAATTATTAACTTGAAACTAAATATTATTTCGTTAACTAAACATATAAGAAATATTTAAAATAAATATAACATTAAATCTAACAAAACGTATATATACATACATACATACATATATATATATATATATATATATATATATATATATATATATACACAATATATATATATATGTGTGAATTTAAATACTAGTATGTTTAATTAATAAAATAGTAATTTAGTTAAAAGGTTTAATTAAGTTAACATATTTTTTTTAGTGTATATAATTTTATATATATATTGTATATAGAAATAAAAAAATTTATTGAAACAAAATATTCTTAAAATGCATAATTTTTAATTTAATCTTGCAATAATATTTTGTACAGTTTATGCTATTTAAATAAAAAATATATTTTTTATAATTTTAAATGTTGATAGACTTTATATTGTAAAATAAGATGTTCAGAAATATGTTTTAATTTCAACAGAAATTAAAATTATATTATTTTTCTACATTTTTCAAAAAATCATTAGTCTCTTTATAGGTAATACATTAAAAAAAAATTGTTAACGTGACTAAATATTTCAACTAAATTAAGTACTATTTTATTAATTGAACATATATTAGTATTTAAGTCAAATATACGTTTTGTTACATTTAATGTTATACTCAATTTAAATATTTTTACATGTTCAATTAACCAAATATTTAATTAAAAGGTTTAATCAAGTTAACAAATTTTTTTTTAGTGTACAAATAAACATTTTAGGAGACTAATATTTATGGTATATTATAAACAGTTTTACATGTGTTATTACCATTTGAGCATGATAAGATTTATTATGTTTGTATAGATTTTTTATTTTGTTTTTCTCTATGCGAAACACATCCCTGAAGTCAGGGAATCATCGGTTCAACAATTGCATTGATATAACAATCGACATCGAGAGACAAGGATGCCATAGGAGTGTGGGGTAAAAGTAATTAGCATCTCGTAAACTTACTTGATAGGTGTAAGGTGTGCACGGTACGTAGAATTCTCTGCTCATAATAGACGGATCGCCTGCTGGCGACGGTGAAGTCCAGCTGACGGATCGTCCTTCGGCAAGTGTCAAAACGCCGGTGGCGCCATCTTGGTCTCGCCCGGATTTGAGCGAGTCGTCGAGTTGTCACGTTGAGCGAGTAGGATCACCGAATCCTAATCGCGGACGCGCAGGCCATTCCTCGGCCGCTTCCTTCTCGGGGTTCATGCACACTCGCGGACGAAAAATGCACACTCGCGTGACCCGCGTGTCACGCGTCACGTAACGTCACGTTGTAGTCGCGTCGCGCGACCGTTCAGGTCGTTCGCGTTAGCGTCGTCATTGGCGGACGTACCGACGACAACGACGATTCGGACAACGACGACATTATCAATAAATAATCATCGGGGCTTGTTATCACGACGCGCGCGAGCCACCAATAGCACACTCGAAACGCACACTGTATAAATTTCACTCAACGACGTCGCCGGGTTCGTCGGCCCAACTCGATCATGGCGCACTTCAAGTCGATTGTCTACGCGAGAGAACGAAAGAATCGCCGCGAGATCGTTTCGTTCGTGAACACGCGCGACGACGAAAGGCGGCGCGGTGACGCACTGACAGATTTTTTACTTACGCCATTTTCCGATTATTTCGCGCACGACGCTCCCCAAGGCACCTTTCGCGTATACTTGCGACAAACAACCATCCACGCTCGCTGACAAGTGCCGACTGACAGAGTATGACGCTGGCGTATCACGAATCAGGAGAACCGACCGCGACCGAACACTGCCGAGCCGCGGCTCGACTGGTGGCGCACTCTCTCAGTCGAGAGGCGACAACAAGTCCTCAAAGTTGCATCATTATCGATAATTCAGTCGATAAAATCGCGCGCTATTACACGCCATTTTTACGCACTATTTTATTTATTGTTTTATAATTATATTATTTTTATTCAATGTATGTAATGTAAATTTGTATTATATAAATTTCTATATTATATATTTATTATATATTTAATTATTATTAATTTATTAATATATTTATTAATTATATATATATATATAATTATTATATATTATATATAACATATAAAATATATATATTATATAAATTTATTATATAAAAGATTGATTTCTAATATTCGCTCGATAATATTATTTAGCATATTATTGAATAAAATTATAGATGAAAGATAAAAGATGATTTTTGACTTCAATTTTCAGACCTATTTTTGCATATCAAACACGCCATACAAATCGAAAAAATGCATGTAAAATGTTGAAGTATTTAGACCGAAATTTAATGAAATAAATATTAATAAAATAAATATATTTACGCAACTACTACATGCACGTAGTGGTCCAGATAGAAGTTCCCCCACGTGTCTTGACATCTGCGTGAGTGCGAGGGGGTCGTCCGGATGAGGGATGCCTCCTTTTCTTTTCAGGCTCGATGACGATATTCTCCGGCACCAGGATCTCGTCCCACGGGATCTCGACATCCTCGGGCGCACAGGTTCTATCTTCCCTAGGCGGTCGTATCACCATCGGTTTCTCCAAGGCCAAATCGCCCCAGGGTAACTCCACCAAGGAGTCGCAAGCCTCCGGCTCCTCCAGGGTGCTCCGCAGGGTCTCCGTGATGAGCAGATCCTGCCACGGCAGAGTCATCTTGCCTTTGGGATCCCCTTTTTCGGTTTCGACCGGTTCTGTCTCCGCTTCCTGCTCAGCTGTCAAAGTTACGTCATGCCGAATTCTTACGCCTGTCGTAGGCAGGGCGATATCCTTTAAGGGTAACTCGAAGTTGGAGTCGCATGCTACAGATTCGTCTGAAAACTCGCGACGAAGGGTCCGCATATAGGGCTCGTGCCACATTATCTCTTCGTCCGAGCCCGGATCGTGCACGAAAAACTGTCTCTTTTTCTTGCAGTAGTCCTTCGGTTCCTTCTTCTTTGGCGTGTAAATAAGTTTGTGGCGGCAAACGCACAATTTCTTAATAAGTTGTTTTGCTGGGTTGCGCTCCATTCGGCATAATTCGCGATGAATTTTGATGAATATATCAGTACATTACTCGTCGATTTTTTATTCTCATTAATATTCTAACCCCACATGTTAAGAGAGTGAAATGAATCGATTTTGTATATCGATTGATCGAACGTGATGCGAAAGACTACGATAAAATATGCGAATTATATATTCATATATACATATATATATATAATTTATTTTGTTCTTATGCTATATTTTTTATTACTCGAAGAGGCTTTGAGTGCATATTATTATCTTAATACTACAGTAGATAATTTAAAGATATGTTCAATACTATCGCTTGTTTAATAATACGTGACGAAGAAATATGCAAAGAAGTCGGTGTTTTAAAAGAATTCTTGTAAAAAATTTCATTTTCGTTCGAGTGCAAAAGAAAACAGGTTAGCATATAAATAATATGTATGCATATTATTTATATGCACTATTGCATTTTGATCTTTATATATATATGTATATAACTCAGAATAAATATTAGATGTCTATTTTTTTAAAGCTGAAATATCTTTAATCTTTGTAATTAAAAACAATTAAAAACGTAATTAAAAACATTAGTTTCAATGACAAACATAAAATGAACAGAGTTCCTTCTTAAATTTTATATATATATATATATATATATATATATATAATCGTAGTGAAACTCTTTAAGCGCTGTAATTAGAAATCGATAGATATTAATTAGGGAGAATGAGAAAGTTTACTCACTAACACACATATGTATATTATCTCCTTTACTTTTGATTTTGCTTTCGATATAATCGTTTATACATATACATATACGAATATGACTCGTGAAGCGAAAAACACACACATACAACATGTGCGCGCGAGCTTAGTCGCGCGAAACGTCACGTCGTGCCATCTGGCGGCGGCGGCGCGAACTATTTGACAGATTCTTGCTGATCGCGCCGATAAAAGGAAATTCGCGGCGGCTGCCTTGTGGCCCGGTTGTAAAGATTTTGAAAAAAAGCGTAAAGCTCACGCGGCCGCGGGACTCAAAGACCTTGTGGAAAAAGCGTCGCGGAAAAAAACGCGACGTGCGTGCCGCGGCGTGAAAAATCGGCCGCTCGTCCCCGTTGACAGGTCTCGCATATCGTGCGTACCGCGAGACTCGCGACAGCGCGCTTGACCAGCGCAGTCCGGGCTACGTTTAGAAGGCGGCCATCTTGCAATCCCTAATCAAAGATCCACGGCTAGCGGGGTATCGCTGTTCTGGTTTGCGGCCAGTTAATATCAACACACAGTTCGTCAAATGGCTTTAAAGCGAATTAATAAGGTACGTGGAGGCCGGTGACGGCCGTACGCGTCGTAGTCGCGGCGCGACCGGGCGTTGTCGCGATCAGCCGCGATTCGATTCGCACGCCCCTTAATATAACGACTTGCTCTCCTCGCTCGAGCCGATGTGTGAAGCAACGTGAGCGAACGTTTGCAAGAAGGACGGAGCGGTCCGGTCCACTTTCGGCCGGAAGACCTTCCTCGACGTCGACCGCGCCGGATCACCCGGGTGCACCGGGCCTGAAACACGGAAATGACGCGGAATCGTCGTCTTCTTTGCCCACCCAGCCGGCCACGGCTATGCGGTGACAGTGAGAATTCCCGAGGGGATTCTGTGTACTTTTGCTACGCGATAGATTGCCGGAAGTAACGAGCGAAAATGCGTGCATCTACGCGCTTTAATCATGCACACGGGTGCTCCGATATATCGGCTCGGTAGATAGCTCCTGAAATTCTATCCCCCTCGGTTGCTTGGGCCTTTGTGTCTTTGCACACGTATCCATATATCTCATGTGTGCCTCCACGACCATTTTTCTTTTGTGGTTTGCTGTAAATTTGTCAATAGTGTATATTAATCAATTTAAGTGAATCACTCGACACATAGTGCGTCTCCATATTACGAATGCCAATATTTGATGTGTCATGCATATTATTCATCGCAGAATGGACTATGATATGGAACATCGAAGAGCTAGTTTTAGATTTATCCAGACTGTTATGTTTAGCGGAAGGCTTCTTCTAGCTCTGTAGCTTGATTTTATCTTAATTTTGTATTATTTGGCACTTTAATATCAATAACTGATGTAATCCTATAGTTATTTAATATTTTAATAACATAATGAACTATAGTTATTGTTATTTTTAGGTTTTTTATTTTTATTTTTCATTATTATAAAGGTCTTATCGGAGAGATCTTATATAGATAATGAATAACTTGATATGAAAATTGATTCTTTTTATATAATAATATCTCATTACTGATTACTATATATGCATAAGATTATCTGGAAAGTTCTATATGTTGTCAGAGAAATAGCACTATATATACGTGTTTATAAATACCAAAGCTCTTCTAAAGAATAATGATGCAGTGTATGCAGAATTATTGCAGTATATATATAATGAGGAAACTACATGGGTATATATTCATTCTAATTATAAATTTACATACTATCTCTAATTAAAAGGTTTAATTGAAATGGTTTAAATGAAATATCATACATCTCATATAAATTAAAAGATATTAATCAAGATAATGTAAAATAATGTAATCCTTTGTGTATTATACATGCAATATTATATGTGCGGTTAATTTTTAGAATCTCTTTAATGTTTTTTCTGTATTTATTATTTCAGGAACTTCAGGACCTTGGTAGAGATCCGCCAGCACAATGCTCGGCTGGACCTGTGGGAGATGATTGTAAGTATTGAGTGCTAAATAAATAAATATAAAGAATAAAATATTACATCGATATACCAAATTACAAATTATAGATCACGCAGGCTTGAAATCTCAGAGAATATTTTATATATTTAAATCGCATTTTTTAAAATATGATTATCAATCATATTAAACTTATTAAATGAGTATTGAATATTATTTAATTATATTGAAACAAAAACATATATGATTTAATTATTTGCGTGTAACTATTGGACCGAATATTTTTCCAGTATTCCACTGGCAGGCAACTATCATGGGACCAGTAAGTAATATATATCTTTATGTAAATTTTAATAATTTTGAATTTATTTTGTTTCTCAAAGTTTATGTATTAAAATAGTAAGTATACATATTAAAGTATTAAAATATTGTTTATCAAAGTTTACATATTAAAATAGTAAGTATACATATTAAAGTATTAAAATATAAAAAAATTGATTTGCGATTGATTTTTGATCTACTTGTGATTATATTTTATGTACTTTGTTTTGTATGTTATAATAATTTTCCTTGAATAGATTGCTAATGAACATATACATCACAATTAGAAATTGGCAATATTAAAGTTTGATTATAATATTATATATAATATATTAGACATATATATTTCAATTTTCTTTTAGCCCGATAGCCCGTACCAAGGAGGGGTATTTTTCCTAACAATACACTTTCCAACAGATTATCCATTCAAACCACCTAAGGTACATTATATTATATAAATGAAATTTAACTAACTTTACATTACAAGAGTAAATTCCTCAGTTATAACTCTTACCAATAATTATTTATAGGTCGCATTTACGACTAGAATTTATCATCCCAACATTAACAGTAATGGAAGTATTTGTTTGGATATTCTAAGATCGCAATGGTCTCCTGCACTTACTATATCAAAGGGTATGTATAATTTTTCTAAATTGTTAATAAAAAATGTGTATTTTATAACTTTTAAATGTGTATTTTAAATGACATTACGACATTATTTTTCAGTGTTACTGTCAATATGCTCCTTGCTATGTGATCCAAATCCAGATGACCCACTGGTACCAGAGATAGCCAGGATATACAAAACTGATAGGGAGAAGTACAATGAATTGGCACGTGAATGGACGCGCAAGTATGCCATGTGATGCGCCAATCTCCGTTGACTTCAACATCCAAACACCACCAAGAAACAGCCCCAGCCTATTGCCACTTATGCATCAGCACCGATTGAAATTAGCTATGGCTCGTATACTTTTAAACTTTTAAGTCAGTATTCGGGCTCGAGGAATCCTCAGGCAAACGTGATCGATCTGAACTTCCCGCGGTTCGGGAAGCCCGCGAATATTAAAATGTTGCCACAATGGCAATTTGGAGGCAATTTTAAAGGTGGTCACCCAGCATTATATACATTGAATCAGACAAAACTTGTCCGCTTTGTTTTTCATAAATAAAAAAATGGAAGTAACATATAGGAGAGTGAAAGTAGGATTTGTATTTAAATCTAATAGATTGATTTCGAATTATTGTGCTTATAATAATTGTAATATTACGATACCTACTTTCTCAGTGGAAATGGAAACTTTGAACTGACAGCACATCGATTGTTAGTCTTAACGCAAGTGAGCAATGTTTGCCCGTCCCTTGGAACGATGTGGTCACTCTTTTGTAAGACTGGGCTATATATATATATAAATATTACTGAAACTGTACGTGTATGCTTTGTTCAATTATTAAAATTCCTCTACCTGACAAATTCTACGAGTAACTCGAAATCTGTGCTTTTGGTTCCTGTGTGTGTGTGTGTAGTAATTTAATTATGCATATCGTTAATCGGCAGATGGCAACCATGCGACTTTAAGTAATCGGAAATATAAGCAAATGCTAGATATAAAAAGTATATATGTATAATTATTTAACCTCTGGTACCTGCAGTTTTGCGGGTTTGTAGAACTATAATTTATCGGAGGCATACAAAACGAAAATGAATCGCTCGTGTCATAAGATCATAATCAATTTCAGCTGTCAGTTTTCAAGCTGATATGAGAAATTGTTGGTGTCACTATCAATAAAGGAGCGATTAAGTTCCGATTATTTAAATTCATATATAAATCGCGTTATAAATTAGACGACAAATATGTCGACGGCGTGAATGGATTGCCATCGGATTCCTAAAATCTCGGCGATTCGTTTCGTACTATAGTGCATAAATATACATTATTAAGTGCGTTCGCGTTTTGCGAGTCAGGAATTCGCAGTCCGTCGCGACATTTTATTTTACTCGCATCAATACTTTTACTGCTGTTTTGCGTGCACATTTGCATTTGTTTAAACGGCAATTTTTTTATTATTTTAATTTAGTTCTTGTGATCGCTCCTTCTAATATTTTTTTTTCATATATAATACAAATTTGCGACACATGACCGTACTGTTCATTCTGCTGAACAAACGATAGATTGAAATAAACTCATTAAACATTGCAATTTCAATATTGTATTTCTAACATATTATGGCTGTAAGAGTAAAGCGATGTGATTACATATTTCTTAAAAGAGACCTAGCTATAAAATGAACAAATTATGTTAAATTGCGAAATGTCATTCAACGCGATAGTTTGTTTAAGATTATATAAATCTACATAATTGCACTGTTTGATGGTGCTAGCAATGTGTTTTTGGCTTCTAATCATAGATAAATAAAATCTGATACGTCATAAAATACAATTACTTAATTAGTGCATAAGTAAAACGACTTTGTCTTGCGAAAACATGTAAAGCACGCGTTATAGCGAAGCGTCTTGATGTAATCGGTGCTTAAATATGGCAAGCTGATGGGGCGACTAAAGGAATCTAGAGAAGACACACATATAAACACAACACATACACAACACACAAATCGATTAGTATGTAATACGGCGGCCCGCTGTTTACGCCGACCTTGTCTCATATGAACGTGTATTTGCTGTAATTTAATTACAAGTAAACACGTCGAATCTGGTATTTAAAAGTTATAGTCCTCGAAGAAAATTGATCATCGTTCACCTCTAGTAGAAGATGACTATTCATGTGTATAATTAATTATTACTACCGCAATAATGAACATTTTTAATAACTTATCTTGTGTATATTTTAGCATTAGCCCTTTATATAATAAAGTCCACATGATGATAAGGTAATAATAGCGAATCTTTTTTTTCTTCGCGGTCAATCACAGATTCGAGCGTGCGCACGATTAGTAGATAATATGATGATGCATCAACCACGTCTTGCGTTATGCATTTATCATATTTACTTATCGTTTACAAACTGTAATTGAAGATATATTTGTGCCAGAATTGCAAAAATATCGTACCAACGATGGTCTTGTTCGAAAGTCTTAATCACCCGTCTTTCTCAAATCTTCAATGTCAGCGTGAAGCAACTTCTATGTGAAAGTAACATGAAACCTATTTATGCTGCTAAAATTTTTGTTATACGCGAACTTTGCGAATGAAAAAAATGTCTTTCGTGCTCGAAAATGACGAAGAAACTTTTGCTAAAACTATGTATAATTAAATCAAAATTCAAATAAGAATGTAAGAAATGTAAATGGATAAAGATGTTATGATTTAATTATCAAGTAATAATTTATGTTAAATTTAGAAATGTTATATTTATGTGATTTGGAGTAAAAAAAGAGGACAATTTTCACAAATGTCTAATTTTATACTCTTTAAAAAAATGTTTTGAAGAATCTTGGAAATTAGCAAGTAGCAAATGAGGAAAAACCATTTCCAACAAGGAAATCTTATTGAGTTGAATACATGAAAAAAACTGTATGCATATATACTACTAGATAAAAAACTAGATCTTTGCAAATTAATCTTATATAATCATCATATACATATGTGTGCATAGGTGTACTGGTGAGAGTGTCATGATATTGATAACACGAAGGCTATCCGGTGATCGGCCGAACCCGACCTACGGTGAACAGAATGGACACTTTGCTGTCCGAGAGCAACAGTGAAAGTATTAACGCGTCCCCCTTTCGTATCTGGAACGAGCGAGGGGGACCTGTAGTTCCTGAGCGTGTATTCTCCGTGCGGCACGCATTGGGAACGACCCTGGCTGACGTCGCCGCCGCTGCTGCCGTCGTCGTCGTCGTCGTCATCCTCCTCACCGTTCACTGCCAGTCTTCAGTTTACCGCGCTCAGTGCGGTCGATCGTGTTGCGATCGTGGAGGAGACTCGCACATGCGAGGAGTTCGCCAATATATCAATAGGACCTACTACGAGACTTCGATGTGACTCTTCGACTACTTATCTGCAAAACTGACGATTGTTCTTCAGGGTATGTGAAGACGTTAATCGAGTATTTACTCGATCATTTTTGAAAGTTATTGCAATAGAATTAAATACATTAATCATTTGTCAATCATTATCAAAGATCATTGTTTTATCTATAATATTCAAAGCGTTGATTAATCAAATTGAACAGATTTCAAGAGATAATGTCATACTTTCTTTTGCAATATTGGAAACAATTTTTATATTGTAAACGAGAAAATTTATCAAACAACGTAATGAAATATTGTAGTCCTTTTTTATATAAAAATTATTATTGAAAATGTTTTAACAATAGACTTGTAATGATTGTCATTGATTAAGGATAAATTAATTAAATATTTCTTAAGGATGTTACGTGCGCGATCATGTGATCTTCAATCCTGTGCTGAGAGAAAATCTTGGTTTCACTTTGCACAAGTCTTGTTTATATTTAAACTTACATTCTGGAGCGAGATTAAGATGTGTGTGTAATGCCTGAATAATTTAATACAGTAGCAAACTCTGCAAAACTTAGCACCGAACACATATCTCGCTCGATGAATTCAATGTCATCTTGCAGCTTTACAATAATAGTAGGACTTTGTTCCCCGTAAATCTAAAGAAATGATAACATAATAGAAGACTGACGAATGATTTAATAACTGACACGTTTATAAGTCGTTAGCTTGACCTATAGCATGAATTCGATAATGATGCGTGATAGCGAATCACTATCATTTACATACTATTATTTCATAGTTATTCATATGATTGTTCATATATTATTGTTATATGAGTTGAAAATTTATATGCAATAGCATGTATTAAGAAAAAATAACTTTTATTTGATAATTTACATGCAATAGCGTGTATTAAGAAAAAATAACTTTAAATAATTATACATAAAGCATTTAAATAAATTATTTACATTAGCCTCTCTGAATTAATGCAGACAATTTAAAAATCTATAAGTATTTCATAGTATGTATAATATGTACACGCATCTTTGTACGCATCTTTATCGATTTTACAGAGTGCAGAATTATGTTATTGAACGATATTGTTTGATTCTTTTTTTAGTTACTCGCAAGATAATAGCATGATTAACGTAATTATTCATTTTGCAGGTATCGAAAGCATGAATATCTATGAAAGCATATATACGAGTGTGAAGTTTGTACCTACTGCAATGCGTCTTTTCACATTAGCAATGTGATCTGCAGTTTTGCATATAGATTTTGTGGACATTTTCGTGAAGGACGTAGTATTAAAATTGTATTTACTTTATACTACATATTTATTACCTGCTCAGAATACATCAATGTTGTTTTATAATCAAAAGTTAAAAGAATAAATTTATCTTTCTGTGCAGAGTAAATAGCAAACAATTATAACTTTCACAGACAATGCATTATAACTTTCACGGCCATATATTTATTCACATATATTATATAACTGTATAATTTATATAAATTAGTTTATTTTGTTTTAAAATAGATTTTAATTGAAAAGTAAAGTTTTATAAAGTATAACTAATTTAATAAAAGAGGTAATAAATTTTATCGAGTTTTGTTAAGAGAAATTTACTTTTACCAATTTCTATGATTTAGCGAGGACGACAATAATGATAAAAGATATAGAAGTATATTATTAGTGAGTTGATGCATAAATCATAAGCTTCTTAGACATTGAGTTTTAAATAGGTCGTATAAATACGGAAATACTATTATTTTTTTTATAGCATATGTAATAATTTTGATATAAATACGTGACAAATTTTTGTATTTGTGGACGTTATCATTCTCGTACTGATCTAACTATTCACTGCACTTTACTATTATTATTATTGTTAGAAAATATAAATAAATAAGTGGATGTGAAACGTTGTAATGCGTAGAAAAGATCTTGGAAACTTCGGAAATTGTACGAATTGTTACGTATAGACATGCTACACTTCCTGCTCGTATAATGGTGAAAATATAATCTGTACGATCGTACTTTTCACCGGGTGTAAACGTACAATCTCAACGGATTCCAAAGAGCGCCTTCAACTTTCTCATAGATTAGACTTCGCGTGACGTAGAGAGAGTGAACAGGTATCTCCTCCTCTCCTCTCACGTGGACTCCAGATAAAAAGACAACGAGGACAACACGAATAATCTCGGAACATGCATTTTTTGCCCGCTTTTAACACTATCCCCGTTCGATGTGTACATTGACATTTGCACATATTTCCATTTTATTTCCGTCCGCATTGAATTACCGATTAGAAATTTATATATACGTAAAATTTCAACCTAGCGTTATTTCGATATACAACCGCGAGATTTCTAATCTTTTATTCGATTACGTGCCGGCGCTCGAAAGTTAATTGCGCGCTTCTTTAATTTTTCTTTTTGCGCAGTTTTGCAATTTTTCTCTTTACAAAAGATCTTTTTCGCTCAATGATGTACCAATTCTTTATTCGTTTAGAAAAAATTTCGTTTCCATTTAGACCGCGTCGCGTAAGAAAGCGTTTGTGACGGGGTTCTTACTTACCTTCCATTTGCCAACAATCTCCTTTTGAGAAAGTTACGTGCATCAATCATCACGCTGAAAATTAATTATAAATCTCTAAAATATAATATTGAAGTTCTATGAAGAATATCATATAAAGATCAGACACACACATCTTGCTGCAAACAAAAATTTATTTGTAATCGACAGTAATTTATATTAAATTATTATTATACTTTTCTAAATATACGTATTTCATTGAACAATAATAATTAATAATGTTTGTGTTCAAATATGGGTTAAATTATCAGGTTTAAAATTTTCTTAAACATTCATACATATTCCGTACATACATATCTTTTCGAGATATGCGGAAATTTTATCTTTACAATTAATCTCGCTGTCAAGTGTAATTTTTTAAGTGCATTCCATCGTGTCTTTAATTCTAGATCGTGTTCCAAATGAAGATTATATGTTAGGACGAGTCTCGTTTGACTGCAATATTATCGCGGATATTATTGCGACGAACAGTTATCTTTAATTTCTCTTATTATATCTTTCAGGAAGCAGGTGTTATATAAAGGGACCACGCTGTTTGAATGATGAAACTACTTGCGGGCGTAGAGGAGGTGAGCGACCACTGTGAAAAAGAGTCTAATAATGGCCAACTGCATAACAATAATAGTCATGAAAAGCAATCTGCGACAGAATTGGTTCAAGAAGCAAGCAAGCCGCTCGTCAACAAGGTCAGTTGACGTTCCACATATAATGCATTGATTGTGTTGCATAAGATTTTAATTAAATCAAAAATAATTCAGGGAAAAGAAACTTAAGAAAGAACATTTCAAGAACAACATATAAGGGAATTAAAAGTGAATGGGTAGAAATAAATGCGGTACGATTATGCAGCGATTATACGTCACGCGAATTTGGTATATGCAACTGTAAATGAATGACGATAAAAATAGTATGCTTTATGGAAAACTCGCGAGATCAATAATTTAATTCCGGAAACTGTCGAACTACGTAAGAGAACATTATAGTTGAAATGCTCTATTTCTTACTACAGTCATTTTCTTCCATTTTATAAATTGAAGACATGAATTGGTGCTTTCTAGGTTGCGCATAAACTGTAATTTTGCATTTCTCCCTTTCTTGTGTACCATATATTGCGATTAATCCTTATTTTTATCGTCGTGAAAATTCAACGTTTTGAATAAAATCTATTTCGTTAAAATGCATTAATCATTCACAATTTATCATTACAAAACCGCGTTAACTTATCATGTTAATCATGACAGATAAAGGGAATTGATCATTAATTATTCGATGAGTATTTATCACGATGATGGTATATATATATACGCATATATTTTGAAATTATATTCCGGCAAAATCCGACATTATTCGATCATTATTTTCTTTCTGCCTGCAATGCTAATCATTCTAATCATAGTGGGATGCCAGTACAACTACGAGAGAATCGATTTCGCTAGCTATGGACTCTCGTGGCCGAGAGAGGAAAACAGACGGTATAAACTTGACACACTCGGATGAAAGGCAGGTCCCGTTGTGGCCTACTTACCGCATTTATATCTTCACAAGATGTAGTGTGACTAAAACGTTTTATACATCCTTGTCTACGATTTTTTGCAAGTCATTAGGAACGTATTCTGTACGCATTAAGTTTCCCTTCTAATTAAGTACATCTTTAATTTACTCGAGCGATTTTGTGCCTTAACATTAATCATAAAATCAGTCGTATATGGAATCAATCTGTATTCTAGATATTAATCTGTATTCTGAACAATACAGATAGATCACTAAATTAATATTAAATGAGTCCCAATCATTATTCAACTAAAATCGATACATTAAATGTTATTCCATTATAATTAAACATTAGAATTTCATACAAAGAATTGATTTACTATATTTATAAACAAATTTGTAAAATTTATATGAAACAGAATTATTTTAAGTAGCTTAATGAGAATTACGTCAGATTAAAAAGGAAACTCATTGTATTCTAAAGTCGTCTCACATATCATTGTGAGACAGTTTACATTGCTGAGGAATGCGACGAACGAAAGCGATGAAAGCACTTCGTATTGTTTAGAATATTACGAGTGCAACGAAGCGTTATTATGCGGTCTTTTCTCTTAAGGTACTTTTACATATTATTGAAATCTAGATTCAATCACGTTAAAAGAAAATATGACTTCTATTCCATTCAATACATTATTGTTCAATATAATGTGAAATTTTTCATACACAGATATTATTTTTTAAAAGTATGAATATATTAGCTAAAAATACCTATAGGCTGTGTCAGAAATTGAGGAATTGCAACATTTTTTTATTTGATTCATTAATATGATTAAGAGACATAATATTTTTGTCTGATTTTAAGGAAACTTTTTTTTAATATTTACAGTTGATGCTATATATATATATATATATATATTATATATATATATAATAATATTTATAGTTGATTTAAAAAAATGTAGCTTACATAAGTATCACTTATTATATGTATAATTTTAACTTCAACAACACCTTTACTTGATTTGAAAAAAAATTCTTAAAATGATTATTCAAGTACCATTATTATCCAATACTTAAAAAATAGTATTCTTTTCAATTTAGCACGTAAGAACGCTACAATCAAGAAGACATACGTGACTCTTTTAATATAGGTATACTATATAAAATATTGAATGCACACTTCATTATCCGAACAACAAAAGAGTCTGAAAGACAATTATATAAAATAAATGTCTAAAATTTGATATATTATTAAAAATTGTATGTTTGAATATATCAAATATGTCTTAATTTTCTCTTCTTATTCAAACAGGCATGCGACAATTCGACAGTCAAGGAAAAACCGGAAGAGGAAGAAGATATGAGACGATTACGTCGGTTCGAAGAGGCGCCCGAATTTCTTCAATATAATCCATACATACTACGTGGTTACCGAGGCTGCTTGACCACCAAACTATGCCTCGAAAGGTTGAGTTTAATGTTTCTTAACTCATAAAAAAATAGGCAATAAACGGGTCTCGAAGATAATGGATACATTCATATTTCAACGCGGGCGATAGAACATACGCTTTTTGATGGAAAAATTGCGTTTTGTAGCATATTTTGGTGGACAAACGAGACCGTCAACATATGGAGTCACATCTTCGGCTGGATGCTCTTCTTCGGTCTGACACTATACGATCTCTGTTTACTGAATATTCATGCGCCGTTCAGCGACAAATTGATCGTGTCCTTGCTGCTTCTTTGTTTTCAGGTAAGAAAATTAATAAAATATGAAAAAAAAGAAAAAGGAAAAAATGACTAAATGAATTAATAAAATTTCCTTTAGATATGTATGATTCTTTCGTCCGTATATCACACATTTTCGTGTCGAAGCGAAAAGGATTACTGGTGCTTCTTATCCTTCGACTTGTTCGGCATTGCTCTGAGCATGTTGTCGATCTACTTGTCTGGTGTTTATTATGCTTTTTGGTGTCACCAGGTAATGCGCACACATTAGTTCTTATCTAGTTATTATTTCAGCAAGACTTTAGGTATTTAAATTTATATATATACCATATATCAATTGTGAAAAGTTAAAAAAATATTTCTATAATTTCGTATTGTATTATTACAGTTAACAAATTAAACTGGTTCATGAATTTTTTACAGGAATTACAGTGGTTCTATCTGATAACTGTGCTCGTAATCTTCATTTTCGCGATGATACTGCAGATACCGAGCCTGAATATCAACGGCAACATTAAGCTAGCTGTATTTGTGTCTTGGGCGATATATGGAGTGCTGCCAACGCTGCATTGGACCATCGCGATGGGCGGCTTCGATAATCCGATCGTTAAGTTACTCATTCCCAGAGTGATAGGAATGTACATTATTAACGCGATAGCGTTCGCGTTCTACATGTTCAAGATACCCGAACGTTTTTGCCCAGGTAATTATTATCGGCGATTACTGCGTTCGTTATCATAATAGCATTCTGCACGATAATACTTTACTAAAAAAAAAAAAATAGTATAACTGTTCATTGTCGCGTGTTGAAATAAACAAATTCACAATATACTTTCACCGTAGGCTGGGTAGACTATGTCGGTTCATCGCATCAATGGTGGCACGCATTGGTCGTGCTAGCTCTCTATTACTGGCATAACAGTGGAATGCTTTATGTGGAATACAGAATGAATCATGGATGTCCAAGGAGTAGGCCATTATGACATACGGATTCCGACGGCCAGCCACGTACGTCTAAATGATAGTCATAACTCAATGTTGGTTGCGACTAGTACCATAAATTTATGTGTATATGTGCGTTTAACCACATTTTCACAATATCCAGTATATTCCATATCTCCGGTCGCATCTAAGATACGCATTGTATTTTTAATTTTTATTAAAGGGAGAGAAAAAAATATTAATTTTATAATAGATAAAATACATAAATATTCATATAGATATAATATTTGAATGAGAGCGTAAAAGCTCAAGATATATTTTGTGTAATTACAACATTTACAATCTCGTAAAAAAAATTTATGACTACTAAAATTACACCGAATTATACTGCGATAAGTTCAAAGTTTATAATTGCAAATATTCTGTTACAGCGTCCGTCCTCGCCATGGACTGTGCTTGCTTGATGAAGGCTTGGTCGTCGTTAATCACGGAACCGCCGTTTTATGGTATCTCGAAGAATACATCTTGCGAGATACAAAATCCACTGCGAGTATACGCGTATCGATAGTCTCGATACGTCTTTAGGGAATAATTAGATTGCGATTTTTAAATGGAAAGAAACACTCGCCGTGGGTATTATTTGCAATGGTCTGTAGCTCTATTTATGTTCATTCAACATCGATATTTATACCTATTTTGCAAGAATAATTTTTTTTTCATCTTAAACCACGTTCTTTTTTTAGGTCCTTAATCTTAGCAGGATTAAAGACAAGTTAATATTAATTAATTATTCAATGTCATTAAAAATATTCTTGAAATTTACAATTCCAAATTAGAAATATATTTAACAATAAATATAATAAATAGAAATAGAAATAGAAACATATATATATATATTATATTAAAATTTTTATATAAAGAAATTTTAACTAACTAGATTTATTAATAAGTGATTTATAAACAGATCTTAAGGAATTGTAACAATGAAGAGATGAGATTTTGTAACCATTTCCTGCTGGGGTTAAATGCAAGCCTTTTTAAGGATATTTATCTTTGTTAGAACTGTTTTTGTTTTTTTTTATACATTTAAAGGAGACTGGGACATTTCGAATTATTCGAAATAGATTAATAAGAACACAGCGTTTTGTATGCATTTTTTTATAAATATTTTAAGAATAATAGTAGAGGGAAAAATATTGAGACGTGGGTTTATTTGACGAGAAAAAGTATTTTCTTTATTATTTGAGAGTTTATTGATATCGAACATGTGCGACGTATTAGTGAAATATCAGCGAGTGATTATTAATAGTGTGAAGCGATACCGACTGCTTTTGCAATGCGGCTAAAATAGGGACGTTACGTAATTTTGCAAACCATTAAACTTCCAACGTATATTTATGCACATGATTCGCACATTTTCCAATTACAAACTGTACAGACGGGATAGTTGTACTAAACAAGCATAACGATATTATAATATATATTGTACGAATACTTTACCTCTGATTCCAATAAGAATTCCATGTTTCGGAGAGGTAGCCTTTTTACACTATTTAAGTAGATGGTAACGGCTGTAATGAAACAATAGTTTCCTGAATTGTTGAAAATAAGAGAAATAAATATTTTATTTATTAATAAGAATATTTACCGCCTGAAAAATTCCTTCTTTGTAAAACAATGTTTCTCTTTTTTATAATTACTTTCTTTTATAATTACTTCTTTAATATATATATAATTATTTTTTACTGTCATTATTACATACATATATGTATATATACATATACATCATATAATTACATATAATAAATACTGCAATAATTGCTTTTTATAATTATCTATTAAAGGTATCGAAATGAACAAAAATATGATATTTACATCTATATTTTTGTATAAAACATGTGTAGTTTTTAGAATTACTATATTATTTACACAACCTGTTATTTATTGAGTAAACTCTCTTATTATCATCAATTCATAATTCCCGCGTATATGCACGGTTTGCTATGGTGGCGTTACTGCATTCACACGGTTTCCGTTTCCGCTATTCTCGAGTCGCGATTAGTCGCGATCGTGCGCGTTTATATTTCTCTCGTTTTTAAACGCGAAATTATATCAATTATTCGTGAAATACTTGCTGAAAATGATACAGAAGTCGATTCAAGAGCAATACGAATAAGGTACGTGATAGCTGCATCGAAATTCTCAAGTTATACGCGTTTGTAATACAATATATTTGTCGACCAAAAATATTCGCGATTCTTGCTCAACTTTGACCATTGAAATTCTAATTTGCTATTTTCAATTACAATTTTGGCTCTTATCGCTTTCATATCTTAATATTTCTGTGAATATATGCATAAATCCTAAAATATCTCTCCATTGCAATATTTATGAGTATATTAATTTGTTAAATAAATTTTCTTGAATTTTTTTCAGACATTGAGTACTCGTTCCATTGATATATGAAGCAAGTATTTCAGTCGGTACGTGAAGTTAGGCGAGTATTCCGCTTCGCTTCCAGAGGGCGCCACCCTTCCGAAAAAGGTAGTATTATCTTCGCCATTTCATTTCTCAGTCTTTACATGTCGCAGTTCGCGCGCGTTTTTTTACATCGCGAAGTTATGTTAATTGTTTGTGAAAAATATTTTTGTCGGAAATGATACAGAAGTCGATTCCCGAATAACACGAATAAGATATGCGATAGCTACATCGAAATTTTCAAGTTGTACGCGTTCTCAACATTAATATTTGTCGACAAGAAAAATGTACAATTTTCGCGTTTAACTTTGACCATCTCTTGAAATTTTTTATTACTATTTTGGCTCTTATCGTTTTCATATTTTAATATTTCGGTGAATGTACATAAATTTTTATAAAATATCACAATCTCTAATCGCATTATTTATTTATTGAATAAATTTTCATTTTTTTTTCAGATATCGTAGCATATCTCAGCCGGCATAAAAAGTCAACGCTTCTATTCCATTTGAAGATGATTATTGCACCATTGTTCCTGTGAACTTCAAAAAGGTATGTTCTTGCCATCGCAAAATTATATTAATCGTTTGCGAAATATTTGCCGAAAATGACGCAGAAGTTGAAATTCCTGATAATATGAATAAAAGGTACATAATAGCGTATGTAAATTTTATATATTATGTGCATATTTTTACGAACCAATATGTTTATCGAACAAAAATGTTCGTATATGTTTTGCCGAAACTACTTTTTGAATTCTTACATTATTATGCATTATGATCGATTTGCATTTTGATTATTATTGAATATCATCCACGATTATGTGCTGCAATTATGCAGCATATTATATACAAACATTGCTCTATATCATTTATATGTATATTAAAATAACCGAAAGACTTTCTTTTGCTTAAAAAAATTTTAAATTTAAATAATCTATAATTTGCTACAAAATTCAGGACAGAATTCTATACCTATGTAATTATATATATATATATATATATATATATAAAAGAGAAAACATATGTATATTAAAGGAAAAATTATATATATATATATATATATATATATATATATATATACATACAATAAATACATATATTATATATATTATACATAATATTATTTTATATATTACATAAAATAATTGAAAATTATAAAAATTTTATCTTGAATTTTATTGCAAATTATAAATCATCTAAAAAAGTTTAAAACTATTATTTTGATAAAGTATCTTCATAATAAATTTTTTCTCATGAAAGGACTAATAAGAAAATCTGCTATTTGAATTTTATATATTTATTTAATTTCTTGAAACGTTTAAATTTTAATTGAAAAGAACTTCATAAATCATAGTTTGTTCAAAACAATATGCTATTATAATAATTCTCCAAAACTCAACATATCAATGAACAAAAATTATAAAACATTATTTTTTTAATTATAATATTTTTAAAATCTAGCTTTCCTCTCTTTCCTGTCTTTTAAAATTTGTATTTTAAATTTCTATTATTTCTATTGTAATTACTAAAAATAATCATATTGATTTTATGATTTAGTTGATACAACAAATGGTTATTATTTTATCTATATATATTTTTATTTATTATTAATAATATTAATGAATATAATACCTATTTTATTCATATATTAATTTAATAACAAATAACATTATATTAACTTATAAATAAGGATTTAGATAGAATAATCATTATTTTTTTATATTAACCGAATCATAAATCAATATGAATATTTAGTAATTAATCGAAAGTAATAGAAATTTAAAAGACACATTTAAAAAGAAAGAAGAGAGCTAGATTTAATAAATGTTGTAATTAAAAAAATAATGTAATATAATTTTTGTTCATTGGCATGTTAATTTTTGGGGAATTGTTATATTAATCATAAATCAATATGATTATTTAACGCAATAATATATTATTTATATAATATTAACTGCTTAAATAATGATTTATATATTGATTTATGATTCGGTTACTATAAAAAAAATATTATTCTATCTCTATTCTTATTTATAAATTAAAATAAGATTATTTATTATTAATTTACATAATTAATATATAAAAATGATCTTTCTCTTTCCTATTTTTATTGTGATAAAGAAATGATCCGGCGGAAGTTAGATGTGCAGAGCATCCTTCCGTCTTACTAAGAGTCCTGTATAAGCCCTTTTGCAATCCTTTTGCGATTCACGAGTAACTTTCACTTTTTGTCGACGATGCGTCTAACCGAGCTACGGCGATTTTTTATCTATGCGAGAAAAAAAAGAAAGAGTGCGCACGGAGAGCGCGCCGGCAACTCTTAGAATTTACGTAGCACTTAATCCCGCCGCTTAGAAGGCCTCGGCAAAATCACCCTACTTCACATTCTCAGGTACCTATTCCTCCGTTCCTTTACGCCTTCTCCTTCGCCACTCATCATCGTGAACATCCTTGCTTCGCATTCGAGCACCTCTGCGTTCGCGCTTTTTATTAGCTGCTGAGAGCGGCGATATTTCCGTAAAGTATACCTTATCAGCGTATATCACTTTTAGCGCGGTGCCTTATTTTATAATGCACGAAAGAATAAAAATTAACATATAACAAAATAGTTTCTGTAATAGATAATTCTGGAATTGTGTGAGCAAATTGACAAATTCAAGTCTCTGATATCGATCTTTCGCGTTACATATTTATATTTTTTTTCTGCTTTCCCTGTTGTGTTGTCGGATATTATTTCTGATAATTTATCTAATTTTTTATCTCGTTTAAAAAATAATATTACAAAGAAATATGAATATCATTTTGAGATCAATATCATTATGAGAAAAATATAGATTCTCACAAAGAGAAGTCGTATATATCTTGTATATGAATAAATCAAACAATTGTTATCCTCTGTCGAAATAGTGCTTCGAAAATACCGCGAAAAGATTTCGCGAATCAGTTGCAAAGCCAATTCTTTAATTTTCATCTCTTAAAAAATAATAGTATCACAAAGAAATATCATTATGTGAAAAAATATAGATTCTCACAAAGAGAAGTCGTAATATCTTGTAAATAAATCAAACAATTGTTATCCTCTGTCGAAATAGTGCTCCGAAAATAGCGCGAAAAGATTTCGCGAATCAGTTGCAAAGCCAATCCTTTAATTTTCATCTCTTAAAAAATAATAGTATCACAAAGAAATATCATTATGTGAAAAAATATAGATTCTCGAAAAGAGAAGACGTAATATCTTGTATATACGATTAAATCAAACAATTGTCATCTGTTGTATTTTCATACAGCAGATGATTTTCAATCTTTACCTCGTTATCGATAATGATTAATTTGCTTTACAC